ACCCCCATCTCCTACCTACTAACCTCATCCCGCCCCCTTGACCTGTCTGTCCTCCCTGGTCTGACCTATCCCCTCCCTACCTCCCCACCTACACTCACCTTTACTGGCTCCATCCCCGCCTCTTTGACCTGTCCGTCTCATATCCACCTATCCTCTCCTCTATCCGCCTCCCCCCTCTCCCTATTTATTTCAGAACCCCCTTCCCCTCCCCCATTTCTGAAGAAGGGTCTAGGCCCGAAACGTCAGCCTTCCTGCTCCTCTGATGCTGCTTGGCCTGCTGTGTTCATCCAGCTCTACACCTTGTTATCTCAGATTCTCCAGCATCTACAGTTCTTACTATCTCTAGATCAGATTGGGACAACATAGTGTGGAGCTGGAGTCACTGCACAGTATGATCCCACAGAGGACCCTCTGAGTGATTGCACAGGGTGATCCCACACTGAGGGCCCTCGGGTGACTGCACAGGGTGATCCCACACTGAGGGCCTTCTGAGTGATTGCACAGTATGATCCCACACTGAGGGCCCTCTGAGTGATTGGACAGGGCGATCCCACACTGAGGGCCCTTCAGGTGACTGCACAGGGTGATCCCACACTGAGGGAACATAACTGAGATCGAGCAGCAGATTATATCCGGGTTGGGTGAGTAAGTCTTTCATTTGGAAGGGTTAGTGCAGGGGTTTGTAGGATTGACATCGATCTGTTAGTTGCATCATCTGCCTGGGTTGGGAAATGCAAAAGCTGGACATCGTTTCTCAAAACTGTGAATTTGTTGGGACTTACCAGAGATTCCCCTGAGAGAACTTCGAGCAGTGAAATCAGGTTATGTCCATCTCGTAAATCTTCGTAAAGATCATCGATACTTTGATGAGCCTGTGACAAATACAAAACATTACAATCTCCAAACATTCAACATCAAAGAACCAAACAACATCCTCCCAATGAGGCTGAGACAGTACTGACCACCAGTACCAACCCCAATACCCCCCCACTGACCACCAGTACCAACCCCAATACCCCCCCACTGACCCCACACTGACCACCAGTACCAACCCCAATACCCCCCCCACTGACCCCACACTGACCACCAGTACCAACCCCAATACCCCCCCCACTGACCCCACACTGACCACCAGTACCAACCCTGATATCGCCCACAGACCCCACACTGACCACCAGTACCAACCCTGATATCCCCCCACAGACCCCACACTGACCACCAGTACCAACACTAATACCCCACACTGACCACCAGCACCAACCCCAATACCCCCCACAGACCCCACACTGACCACCAGTACCAACCCTGATACACCCCCACTGACCCCACACTGACCACCAGTACCAACCCTGATACCCCCCCACAGACCCCACACTGACCACCAGTACCAACCCCAAGACACCACACTGACCACCACTACCAACCCTGATAC